TCAGGAAGTTTGACCTGCCCCAGGAGCTGCTGATACAGTTCTACAGAGGAATCATTGAGTCTGTTCTCTGCACCTCCATCACTGTCTGGTTTGGCTCAGCAACCAAACTGGATAAGAACAGACTTCAGCAGACAGTCAGGACTGCAGAAAAGATCATAGGTGCAAGCCTGCCCTCCGTGGAGGACCTGTACACCTCATGGGTCAAAAGGAGGGTGGAGAGGATCACTGCAGACCCCTCATACCCCAGATACAATATGTTTGAACTCCTCTCCTCTGGACGGCCTTACAGGTCACTGTGCACTAAGACAACCAGGCACAGGGACAGTTTCTTCCCCCAGGCCATCACTCTGATGAACACTTAACTCATGACAGTATGACTGGACAGTAACCCTCAGTGCAATACCTGTAAATATACATTGTACAGATTATACAGATCCGTACAGGTCTTTATTTTTAAGTACTCTATTTATCTAATTTCACAATGAGCATTCGTTTGTCTGTCTGTATTGTGTACTGCCTGCTTATACTGCTTATTTTTGCATTGTTTGCACTGTTTGTTGCTTGTTAATACTGCTATTTTGTTATATTACACAGCCTTATACTGGTTTACTGTTTACTTGCCCCTTGCATGGGGATATGTACATACACATTGAGAGCCGATGTACCAGAATCAAATTCCTCACGTGTCTGACACACCTGGCCAATAAAGCAGATTCTGACTCTGATTCATGTTGGATTTGTTTGTGAATCAGTCTTCTCTATCTGTCTACAGCTCATCACCTTATGTAATGCATTCCTGTTATTGGTTAACACAGCTTAGCGGGAAAAGGGAGTGCTTTATCTCCCTGCTAATGCAAACACAGCAGAGTCCTTGTGACGTGAGAGCGAGATTGCAGGAAAAAAAAAATCTTGAACAGCCTAGTAACTGCTTTTTAAAAAGCATATCAGCCTTCTTTCTGATCAGTCACTCTGGCTGAAATGTACCATTCCACTACTTGTATTTTCAGACCAAGGTTGCAATTTCTGCATTCCATAAGGGTACTTGGATGGGAGTCTGTTGAAAATAAAGATAAAGCAGTCTGGCAAATGAGATTAAATGATTTTAATTTGGTATTGAAAGCCCTAAACTTTTAAGGTACAGCTTTGTCTGAAAAACACAAGATAAATTTGTTTTGCCATATTGCCAGCTGTAGTTTCACGTGCTGGCAAAATTGTGTGTGTCAGAGTACAGCTTGATTAACTTCCATGGAAAGTAATTACTGTACTATTCTGGGCATACATTTGTCTGTGTTTGGTTCAGTGTAGGAGTTGTAAGTTCTATACTTGAAACGGTGTGTGTCCTCTTAATTTTGTCTCTAGGGATGAACTGATCCAACTTTTTGTTTTTCCTAATGTAGATTACAGTGGCTAAACTCCAGTACTCAGCACAAATCTGATACAAGTGCTTTTATGTTACCAAATGTAATGTAAGATAACCTGAGACCAGAGGCAGCTGTGGTGCTAATGCCAGTCATCAGCCTAGTGGAATTTTTTCATTGATGTTGATGAAGAGACTTTATTTGATGTGGAATGGTTGCACCAATACAGCAAGGGCTGTATTGGTGCAGATGCTTATCCAGTGGGTATTTGGTTTTCTCTCTACTTAACAGAACAGTCTACATGAGACTATTTAGCTTTTGTCCTACATGCTAAACTTGCCAATGTTTTTTTTTTTCTTTTCAGTACAAATGCTTCAATGCCAGTATTTACCTATTCAGTTATGGTTTTGTGTCTTTTTTTTTTTTAGTTTTTGTTTTCAATGCCAAAGACTAAAGTCATCCATCTGGAGCCATACATATCCTGGTCAAAAATGAATCCAAGGTTCCTCACAGCAGTACTGGATGCCAGGGCTATAGCATCTAGAATAACGGTATGGTTAGATAGCATATTTTTAAGCCAAAATGTGTCTGAATTTAGAAGTAAAGCTTTGCAGGTCATCCAAGCCTTTGTCTTTAAGACATTTGAAGAAATATGCATACTGTGTCCAGTGTTTGCATTGCTTTACAAGCACTGAGTGGACATGTGTAAATGACATTGGTTCAAAACATGCCTCAGGGACACTTTTCTCCCACACTGTGCCATGCTTGATGTAGCAAAAACCATGACCCTGGTGGCTGAGCTGTGACTGAGAGGAGGAGACTGTGTCTCAGAGCTGGAGAAGAGCCAAGGATGGCTGCACACATGAGCAGCAGCGCTGTGGTCAGACGTAGGTAGAGCACAGGTGTGCCCTGAGATTGAATGTGAAGGTAGTAAAATCCAAGCCAAACAAATTACATTTACTCATGTAAGATAACTTTTCCCTTACATGCGTGCTCTTAAAAGCACTCAGAGTTCAAGGCCAGCTCATTTCGTTCCCTTTCTGTGTGATCACTGTCAGTTTAATTGTACCCAGCACTGCTCAGCCTACGGTGAAGTCCTGTAATGCTAATACAAACCCAACAAAGTTGTCAGAAGTTAGTTTGTCCAATTTGGAATGCATAACTGGTCAGAGATGGCTAACTGAAGGCTCAGCCTAGAGCTAAAATCATTTGAAAATCAGTGTGAAAAAAGTAGTTTTCTGAGTTTGGTATTTTTAAAAATTATTTATTTATTTTAGGGTCTGTATTCTTGTGCTACATCAGCATTCTGCCAACCCATTATGTACTGGGGGCATTTGAGCTTAATTAGAAAGTTACAGTTCTCATCTTGGTGATTACTTCAGAGCTGCCAATATTTGACTGGCGCTGCTGTGGTGTCTTTTTGTCCTCCAGTGAGTTCTTTGCTTTACAGGAGACTGAAGATGGAAGTGTTGTTCATTCATTCAGGAATGATTGAATATTACAAGGGTATGTTAACATATGATACAGTATTTGTGCAGTTTTTTTTGAGTGTGAATTTAATGAACTTGCTGAAATATCTGAGTGAGACTGAGTTCAGGACAGTGCATAGTAGAAGTAGTGACAGGAAGGAGTTTAGTGTCCTACCTCCATGCTGGAGGCTGGTTCTCAACCTCTGGCTGTTAGTTCTATTACAGCTGTTCACATTGCAGGAGCGAGGTATGTGTGTGTGTGTGTGTGCATATACGTGCACATGTTTTGGGTTGCATCAGGTGAGTGTGGCACAGTGCTTTAGCATGTTGACAGTTTGGTGTCTGAGAGTACAGCTAACAAGTGCAGATATACACACTTGAATAAGCACACACACACACAGATGAACGGACTTGCCATTCATTGTACTGTTAGCACACACACAGTTTTGCATAACAGAGTTGTTTTTTTCTCAGTGAAATAGATATTATGCACATAAACACCCTTTCTCATTCTACCTGTGAATCGTGAGAGCATGTGGAGATGGGGACAGGAGAGGACTGGCATTTACTGCAGATTGCTCTCACACGTCCCTCTATCCACGTTGTTTGTCATGTTCCCAGATTATCTCCTTGCTTCCATTCCTTAATCTTTTCCATCATAGTCACCCTTTCTGAAGAGGAAAAAGGTATTAAGGAAAATTATTGGTAAAATGAGATATCCTTCCCCTTCAAGCACCATCTGAAGCAAAGTTAATTAGGATAATGATGGTGGATGCAGTAACTCAGTAGTTTACCCGTATTGGAAAATATATATCCCACATCCCAACTAGTGTTTCCTCAGGGTGTGATTGTTCCATTCTCACTGAATGGAAATATTTATATTATCTACATATGGATTCATCATGCATGCTGTAGTAATTGAAAAAAAAGGTACACCTGGAATTAGATGGTGTTTGTTTGTGTGTCTCTCTTCTTCAGATATCTGGAGTCTCGGTGTGATCCTGTTCATGTTAGTATGTGGTCAGCCACCCTTCCAGGAAGCTAACGACAGTGAGACCCTCACCATGATCATGGACTGTAAATACACTGTACCAGCCCGTGTTTCCACTGCCTGCAAAGAGTGAGTGGTACATCCATAGTATTTAACACTCAAGTGCCCTGCCTATGCTGTTTCTGACAGATGTTATATAAGAAATTGTTCTGATATAGTTCAGTTTGTGGTTTCACTTTACAAAACGATATAGAACAACACAGAGTGTCGTGTGTGTGTGAGTTGATTCTGCCCCACTTATTGACTATGTATATTCCTCCATGTATTAGCTACTTGAGTGTATCCCTAATTTTTCTCTTTTAGCATCTGACCTATAGTAGACATACTATACAGTGGGGCAAATAAGTATTTGATAGACCACCGATTTTTCAAGTTTTCCCACTTACAGAGAATGGACAGTTCTGTAATTTTCATCGTAGGTACACCTCAACTGTGAGAGACGGAATCTACAAAAAA